ATTACGCGTTTGTTTGGTGCACGTGCGCTTGCGCCCAGGCGTTGGTCAAATTTCAAGATGCCCAGGCCTGGGCTAGCATGCAAAGTTCCTGGAATTTCGATTTTTCGCATCGGTCCCTGCACAGTTTGCGGCCAACTTGGCAAACGTGCTCAAGCCATTGGTGGGATCTGCTACCAGCCCGGTCCTCAATCGCATTTTTTTGACATGTATATATATATATATGTGTATGTTTGTATATATGTATATACATATATACACATGCATATACACACATATATATATACACACACTGCACCCCCACGCATGTGCTTTACTGCAGGTTTGAAGGATATCCTCGAGGGGGCTGACAATTTTGAGAACCCGGCAAAGCCTATCACTATGGAGTTCATGGAGAACGCAGGTTTTGTTTGGGCCAATGTGTGCTTGACGCTGATCCGAATTTTGGCTTAATAAACAAAAGCAATTTTCTGCGGGTAAGACCTTGCCGCCTGCCCAGGAGACCAAGGGCTGACCCGCACACCAGCACCAAGGGCATTTGAGGCTGCAGCCAGGGCCTCATATATCAATCTTACTATTCGGGGCGCAGCTATATTTGTTCAGTATGGCCGAGGTATTCGTTGTTGCTCAAGACCTGGGGCCGAAGGACAAAGCCCTCCTAGCCTCCATCCTCAAGAGGATGTGTAGCAGGGTCCGCACACTTGCCGGGCGGAGCAAGTTACTAGGCTGCATGAAATACGCGTTCCTTTCATGACTTACAACCTGAGCGGCCTAGGTCCTCATACTTTCCGAAGGTGGACCAGCTCAAACAATTGTTGGGGGCTTGGACTGCTGCATGCCACTCACGTGTTTGGAACCAAAGTATATGTCGCACGCAAATTAAGGATTTTTCGGGCTCCGAAGGATGCGCAGGAGGAGGTCGGCGAGGACTCGTCTGAGGTTGAAGTTGTCGACTCTGCAGAGCCGCCCTCATCTTCTAGGTGCGTCCGTGTCATTAGTGAAACATGATCCCATGATTTAGTGCGCAAACTCATAATAATTTGATTTAGCGCAGGCTTCCTGATCGGGATCTGCAAGCTAGCGATGCGTGCCCCCACTGCAAACTCAGAACTGTGGCATATATTAAACTGCCTGTTTGCGCGGCTCAGGTCAACGACTCCGCCAACTACGGAAATTGAGACCGACAAGCGCAAGGCGTGGCATATTGCTGGACTGCGCAGCAGACTTGATACGTGTTAACAAATTTGCTCACGGGATCCACATCAGTTTGCGCGCAGGCTGCAAAGGCATGCTACCAGAGCGCATGCAAAGCTCTTTTTGGGGAGGACAGCTGTGTTAAGTTACAAAATATACATGCATGTACTTTATAATTATATATATATATATGTATATGTAGTATACATGCGAAACAAACATACGTGTGTTTTCGGTTTCAATGTCTATTCTGCCATTAGATAGATCCACATTTCACTGATCTAATGGCAGAATTGCATCAGTTATGTCTATATCTCCCTCTCTCTCTCTCTATAGCACCGCCTACGCCCATTATGCGCAAGGAGCCGCTGGACATCGAGAGTCCCTCTGCTGAAGCCCGTGACCGAGACCTTGCCGAGAAACTGATTCGAGAGAGAAATTTCTTGCACCCCTCTGCCCAGGCTAGCTGAAAGCACGCATTTGTGTTTCAGTCAAGCGCATGCGTGTCACAACGTTCCCTATGTGCATGCTTGTGTTCAGGTCGCTGACGCGCAGCCGAAAGGAAAAGCGCGCGCAGAGAAGCCTGAAGCGACAGCCAAGCCCAAAGCCAAACCGAAAGCCAAGTGCAAGCTTGCAGCCACTGCCCCTGCTGAACCTGCAGCCACTCCTTCCCAGCCAGATGAACCTGCCCAGCCAGCCAGTGCCGCAGCTGCAGCGCAACCAGATGAACCTACAGCCCCTGCTGCAGTTCCTAGCCAGCCAGATACACTTGCAGAGCCCCCTTCTGCCGGCTCTGCAGATGGGCCAAAAGCTAAGAAGCGCCCTGCAGCAAATCCGCCTGATGACGCACCGGAATCAAAAATTCATTTCGCACGCCGCCCGCAGCCGAAAAAGGAACCAGCCAAAGCCCGGTTTGACACGATCAGAGCTGTATGGACGGAGTACCTTGGCTTAATTCACGTATCACACGCATGCGTGCATGCATGCATGCATGCATACATGCAGGTGTATATTTCACAATACAGTTGGACACACACACACACATATATATATATATATAAACGCATTGCGCAAATATACACATATATAAATATATATATATATATATATATATATATATATATATATTTATATAACGTCCATATGGAAGAATGCATATCGCAGCAAACCTCGCATTAGTTTCCACGCGCTGCGCCGAGCTTGCAGCCTAGGAAAATCAACCCGACGATCTACTATGGGGTCTGCAAGTCGCAGGACGGAAGGGGAGGGCATGCATGCATATATGTGTTGCACCGTGTGTGGTTGATTGTCAGTTGGTTGTGCTTTTCTCGCAGTACGATTTCTGGACATTCGTCTTTCCGCACCTGACCGAGCTCGCTGAGGAAGATTTGAGGCCAACATGCCAAAGGCTAGCTGAACAGTATCTTGAAAAACAGCGGGAGCAAGCAAAATAGACTAGCTGCTGGCCTTGCTTGCGTTTAAACAACGCTGAACTATGCACTTGAAAAAAAACGTGTGCGGACCGAAATCTTGAGGCGGCGCCATATCGTTTTGCATGCACAAGCGATGAGTTGTGCGATATATGAAATAGAGCTTGTAGTGGATTGACGCAGGTACTGCTGGGGCAGGGAACATCTCCAACGACTTCACTACATCAGGTGCCACCCCACCTCAGTCAGCCGTTTCACGCATTGCTTGAACTGCAGCGCAATTGGCAACTACACCGCTTTTAGCTTTTTGGCTTTTTTTGGGGGGCTAGCAGCACGCGATGATGCCTGACCCCTAGAATCAGCCCCAGAAATAATATTGGTGCCTG